AGAGCCGTTCGCTGGATGTTGTGCGGAAATATGTGTGTGTGTATATATATATATATATATATATATATATATATATACACGTGTTCACGTGTAAATCTTACACGTGAGTTTTTGAATTGAGATTTCAATTCTTAAATTCATATAGAATGCTATATTTGTATCTCATATATGAGAGACCCCGTATATTTTTTTAATATTATTTTTTATATTATTTCTTAACTTGATATGATCAAAAATAAATGATCGAAACATTATTACCAATTAAATAAGCTCGTGAGATGATAAAACAGAATGTTTGGGCAGATGCGAGCTAAAACACAAGATTCGTGTGCGTGATTTTTTATTAAATATCAAAGAAATTACAAACATTACGATTCTCTCGGTTTGGATCTTCTTCAGTGACAAACAGAAATAAATAATATTTGAAGATGGTTTTTTCGGGGTAGAGTTATTTTTAAATCTGTTTTACAAAAGAAGTGATATCAAAAAGTAGCACCAAGTAAACTTTTTTTATAATTTAATATAAACCATGTCAAATTGTACATTTATAGACTATTTTCAAAATAAAAAATATTTAATGCAAAAAACTTGGCGCTGCTGCACCGAAAACTAAAGACAAAGCACACTTACCACTATTGAGTAGCTATCACATCAGACTGAACTTTAGTTCAATATAGTTTTCGGTGCAGCCGCGCCAAGTTTTTTGCATTAAATATTTTTTATCTTGAATTTTTATCAGAGTACTCTTAAAACCCTGATAAACTGAAATATTCACAAAACTTTGTTATAAAAATGACATTAACGAGATTCAAATTCGAAAATAATCTTTAGATATTAATGCAACACACCGTGGAAGCATCAATTATCAGATCAAAAATCAATACTAGTAAAAATTTAATTAAAAATGACACTAACGCGGTTCAATCCCGAAAAACATCTTTAAATGTTAATATTAAAAATTAATAGGATGATCACTCATAATGTGAAGCACTACTTCGCTGCTCCTCAGTAAACGCTAGAAGACGTTTTATGCAAAAATCTTGTTTTATCATCTTCTATTCAATTATTATTATAGAATTACTTTTATTTAGTATTATTTACTATCACACTGAGGTAAATTATAACTTATATAAGATTCACTTTATTTAAAAATATCATTCAAGTAAAAAATATTTTGCATCTTAGTACTTGGGTTTTACTGATATTATTATTTCTCTTATAAATTAGATAAATACATATAAATAAATAATCAAAATTCTTTATTATTTTTTTACTTTGTATTAAATTATCATTCGATTATTCGATTATAATTTTTTTTAATGACGATAAATCGAATGATTATTATTACTTTCCATTTTTCTTACTTATAAAAGAAATCGTACATTTGTAATTTACTCTGAAAATCAGAATGTTCACGAGGTTTCCTTGTAAAAATCCATGAGGTTCAAACGTCGTTATTTTGAACTTAAAAATTGTAGAAAATGTTGAATCGCTATTCTGACCATACATTCCAGTCTACTGTTTAAGGATGTGTTCAATTTTACGCT